TATATATATATATAATGTAAAAACATATACATGTATATATAATGTAAAAACAATGGAAATACGATGTACAATCATATCAAGAGAGATAAAAATCGTTTTTCGGTAATGCTTTTACATTTGTAAACTTTTTACAATTGTAAACGGTAAAGAGAACTGTGATAAAATGACCCATCTGGGACTGGACCCCGGGACCTCTTGCTGTTAACGCAGAAACCTTAATCAACTGTGCTATTAAGGATTTCAAATAGATTTATACATATATTAATTGTAAACGCTTAAGAAACATCACTCCAACCGGGCTGTATAATACAGACGTCATATCTAACTAGGCCAGTTTACATACTGTACAGTACTTCATTATTTCAGGAAGGTACAGAAGAATTTGTGATGTGGGCATACAACAACATGGACCCGACGACCTTTCCTGGATTCCACACCAACAGAGGCGCTCTTCCACTTGTGTTAAATGATGGTCAAGAACCGGACCTTCTAGGCAATACTCAGTCAGTTCCATTACCTCGAAATGTAAGAAATTTATCATCACAGTTATTGTACATGTCCTAGTCTAAGAGTTTCCTACTACTTTCCCTCTCATCCAGTGATGGCGCCAGGATCTGCCCGACGGAGGCGCTAATAAAGGCCCCGACGGGGGTGTGGCTAGTGGAGCGAATCGAGCCTCACTTGTCTGGGAGCCAGGGGACCGCCTAGGGCCATGGTGGTGGTCTATGGGGCTTCTCCCCCCCCCCCCAGAAGCCACGGATATTTGACGAATTATGGCGAATATTTATTACTTATTTGATAAGCATCGAGCTACTATAATATGACTTCATGTAGGCTATGTTTTCTAATGCCGAAATGAGCTTCCAAAACCAAAACATTTTGAATAAAACAGGAAACAAATCCTCATTCTTCAAAGTGAAATTCTACGTTTTGGAAATTTTGCATGAAATCTGTCAACCACGCTGTGTCCCCTATCACGATGTATTCAAAGCATCATGAGGCTATCCAAATGAGCATTTTTCAGATCAGAACACAAATTATTTTTAATTAGTCTCATTGAACTATTATTATTATTATTATTATTATTATTATTATTATTATTATTATTATTATATTGTGAAAAATAGTTCAATGAAAACAATATGATGGCTAAACGAACATTACATGTAATTTTTGTTTTATTTGTTTATTCCCCGACAAAACCTACTCGTCTTCCCCGACGGGGGAGGGGGCTATATCCCCCAGTCCTCTCTGGCGCCACCATTGCTCTCATCCCTCCACTTTCAATGGTTAAGTTTAGGCGTGACATTTCTATAGCGATCTCACCTAAAGAAGGGGTAAGAAGAACCCACATTTATATTTTTTTTCTGCTGAAACTTTTTCTGGTTTTGTTGCTTCTGGATGTCATCATGACCCGAGGCCTGTATGAGTCCAACATATTAGCCTTTTCATGTATTTTGACTGCAACATAAAAGGAACCTAACCCTGTAAGTCCTTCCTGTAAACTTCTGTTTAAAACCACATTATCATAATACATTTGGTTAATACCATAATTATATAATAATATTTTTCAAATTTCCGGAAGAAATTGGCTAGACGTGCATAATTAAAACAAATTGATAGTCAATAGAAACTTTATGTAGATAATCCACACCCACCTCAGGCGCACCATGGTTGGGACTGAGGCGAGTAAATTTTGAGAATAGGTCCCTCTTTATGCGATCGGAAATGGCACTCTCAGATGGTGAAAATGCTTTTTCAAAGTAGTGTTCCCTGACAAAATTATTGACTTTTCTCTATGCTCCCTCTCCGCTTACGGCCGTCCCAAAGGTCTAATCATAAGCAAAAATTAAAATAATGGAATCGCCTCTCGCATTCAGGCAGGACCCAAGAAAAAATTCCATTATTTCATTGAGGGTATGCTGTAGTTTTTCGATCATACACGGCCAGCTTATTGTTGCTACTGTATTCAGGAGGCACAGCGCAGGTGTGCACTCTATTAAGTGACTGCTCTAGTTATTAAGCGATTATTCCTTAAGACCGGTATGCTTTGGTTCTACAGTTTCCTGTAAGCCCTAAAAAGTGAAAGTTTTACTTTTTGAAAATCTTGCCAGACTATACCGACTAAAATGTCCTTCTGTTTTTATTTTTCTGTAAAATTGTTTGAATTGTGATAAAGTAAATGATTGTACTGTATTATGTTATGCTATTTGTTTTTGAAACCACAGAAATGTGCCAGTAATTGTCCGCCAACTTGGTACTCGCTTCCTAATGGCCGTTGTATAAAGATCGTAACATTCGGGTATGACGTCACCGCTAACGACGGTGGCATTTGTGCTGATTACACTTTAGGCACCAATGTGGCTCGATTATTCATCCCACAATCCGATGACGATCTGCAATTTGGGTTGACTGTGTTTCCTTGGGCAACTGCGTACGCCATAGGATGGAATTACGTGGGATCCGTTCTTAGCGATAGTGAAGGAAATGCCGTAGATCTTACTCATTATACATCTCTAACAAGCGGGATAAGCGGAAGTGACGAGTGTATTTACATTGATAACAACGAGGTTATAAATTCTTGTACAAATTCTATTGGTTATATTTGCGAAGTTAAATCATGCGGATGTCACTAAAAATATTGCAGCTACGGACTTTGCAAAAAAAAAACAAAAAAAAAAAACATCAACATATCAGTGGCGGATCCATGAATTCGAAATAGAGGTAGAGGTGACGATCCAATTTAGGATGTAAACTTGAGGGTCATCTAAATTTCTAACGTCCCAGACCTAAGTATCTCAATAAACCTATCAATTGATTTAAATGAAACTTTCTATAATAGTGTCATGGTCCAATGAAGGAATGAGTAAATGTTTTGTTTTGTTTTATTTAGCATCTCACATAAAAACAAAATTCAATTTACATCATCATAAAAACAGTACAATAAAATTTCATTAAAAATGCACGATTACATGAATCATAATGAATTTTGATGACGATCCGGAGCAGGGTGTGGATATGAGGACCATTCAATTGAAAACGTGCAGACCAGATATTTCAAAAACTGATCAACTGATCTGAATGAAACTTTCTGGAAAGTTTAGCCAAGTTACAAGAAAGAAATTATTAAATGTTGGTGACGATCCAGATTTATGTGTGGATTTGAGGGTCTTTAAAAATTCTAACGTCCCAGACCTAAATATCTCAAACAACTTATCAGTGGATCTAGATGAAATTTTAAAGAATACTACTCTGTTATGGTCCAGTGAAGACTACATTTGGTGACGATCCGGAGTAGGGCGTGGATATGAGGACCATTCAAATGAAAACGTCCCAGACTATACCAAAAACTGATCCACTGATCTGAATGAATTTTTTAGGAAAGTTTAACAAAGTTACAAGGGAGGAAGAAATTATTGAATTTTGGTGACGATCCACAGATTCTGGTGTGAATTTGAGGGTAATTTAAAGTGCTAACGTCCCAGACCTAAATATCTCAAAACTCAACAAAGGATCTAAAACTTTGTAGTCTGGTTTGGCATGGTCCAATAAAGAAATGATTAAATTTTGGTGATTCGGTCGGAATTTGTGGGTCATTTAAAGTGCTAAGATCCCAGACCTCAATCTCTAAAAACGTATCATGATTTAATTAATGTTTTTTTTTTATTCGCGCAATGAAAAAATATTTTCATTCGTCGAAAAATTGACTGTTCCATTTAACTCGGCTCCGCCTCGTTGAATGGAACAGTCAATCTTTCAACTCAGTGAAAATATTCTTTCCATTGCGCTCATAAACATTCATTATTTGTATACTACATTACCCTCGCTTTTACTATTGTAGCTATTATAGCTCTAGTCTCACTAACGTCGTCGTTTTTTTTTACTTTCTTTTTACTTTTCCTGCATTAGCAGAAATACCGGTTTTTTGGTTTTTTTTTTTGGGGGGGGGGTTATTTTTGGGGTTTTTTTCTACTTTAATGTTATTCTTGTATCCCGTTTTCCTATATTTAGAGGGTTTTTCTGACTTTGGTCATTCCCCGTTCTTCAAAGATGACGTCATTCTTAACGTTAGTCATAGTTTGAGTCTTCCTGACGTCGAGATGGTTTTCTTTTTTTTTTTTAACTTCATAATTTTCCTTAGATGATTTCAGTTTTGTTTTACGTGTGTCTTTTACGTTAGACAATATTAATGATTTTGTTTTTGTTTGTTTGTTTGGTTTTTTTCTGTTTTTATAATTTTAACATCATTGCCTCTCATTATGGCAATGAGGAAATGTTCATTTTAAAAAATATACGCCTCCTTTGGAAAACTCCCCCTCAAAAACCCTTCTTAACAATAAACGCCCGATGAGGGAGTATTCGAATATATACGGTATCTCTTTATTTTGCATCAACAAACAAATCTGACCTACAGTGTAACACAGAATATTCTGTGTATTTTCAACTAAAGTTACAATCCACATTATTAAGACAGTCGGGTATATTTTCACAGATTACCTACATATTAATCTATTATGGATAATGTTATATGTAATATTAAAATAATAATAATAATAATAATAATAATAATAATAATAATAATGATAATAATAATAATAATATTAATAACATTTATAAAAATCTGAATACATTACTCATAATAATAATAATAATAATAATAATATTTATATTAATAACATTTATAAAAATCTAAATACATTACTCAATGGCCTAGCCAGTCTTTTAGCTTAAATTTGTTCCTTTTTATCTGCTTTGCTGCTTTTGATGTTTCTATAAATATGATGTAATTTGTGTTTTTACTTTATTATTTCTTTTGTTGCTTTTATTTTTTTTATCTGTTTTGTATCTTCTTTTAACCATTTCATTGTGCTAAATTGATTTTATGTAAAATATTATCACAATTTAGTTTTTCTGTGAAGATGATTTTATTAATAAATATGTTCGAAACATGTTTGTACGCAAGGGGCGGTCGGGAAAGTCGTACGACCCCCCCCCCCCCCCCCCCCCAAAAAAATCAAAGCTCCACATTTTTTCCAAAGACATTTTTTTCTAGGGCCTTTTCACAGTGATATAAATGAAAAAGCATTGATGAGGTACCAGCAAGGAGTCCAAAGACCTTGCCAATTGCGTGACGTAATCTGTCTCGATTCCAGCAATTCTGAAACTGAGCTTGCCATCCGCTTCAAGCAAATTGCATTGACATTTCAATCACATCTTACTGTTATTTCATTGTGAAAAGGTAAAAAAATCATGATCATGACCCACCCAGAAAAAATCCTGGATACACCCCTGCGAAATGGTTCGAACGGCTCACTCTCCAATGGTTCCGGTGGTGGAAAAGTCTTCTCGGATAAGGACTTTAAACCGTGGGCCCAGTGTACGCATTTGGCTCGTGAACCCAGTACATACTTCGAGAAGAGTAGGGGGTTACCCCGGTGTACTGGTCCATTAAGTCCCCTGTTTTTAAATGGATATGCCACGTAGGACAGTGATTAAGTTCACTTATTGGCATATCCTTGGCGAAATTAAATATACCATTGAACTGAAAAAAAAAGAAAACTCCATAAAGCTCTATGCCTATACCGAATGGAATTACAATGCTATCTTCAAATTCGTACCGACTCGAGTCTGCACTTCCACAGCGGCTGCAGGATATATTTTCTGGGGGGGGGGGCTATGCCTGTCTCTTATACACATCTAGATGTGTATAAGAGACAGATATACGCCTCCTTTGAATTACTTACCTCAGCCTCAACCATGGTGGGGCCGAGGTAGTATAGACCCTCCAAAAAGTTTATTTTTGGGGCCCCTCTATTAAATTCCTGAATCCGCCACTGGGGTTTGTGTGGGGGGGGGGGTCCCCTCGCAAATGGGATTTTTTTTCTTTAAATATGGATCTTGATGGCCAGAAATGGCACTCTCATAGTCTGAGAGTGAAGTTTCCGGCCATCTGTTGGCTTGCTTAACTCCTCTTTTTTAATCCGACTGCCCGACGAGCTGGTCGGTGGGGGTCACGGCTTGACCTGTCCGATGGGTAAGCCCTGCCTCGCTGCTAGCGTCGCCACGGCCTTCCACGCCGAGAATGCCGGGCACTTCGTTCGTTCCTTCTCCTACGTTCTCCTAAATGGGGTTTTATTCATCTCACAAATATCCACTGGGCCTTATATTTTATTACACAGTACTGTATTTATTGTTTCAAAATAGTCAGTTCTCTTTTTGAAAGCAAATAAACAAAATTTACTATTTTTTTAAATGTTATAATCATCGGTCTACGTTTAAAATCTTCAAGATGTACTGTGATAAATGGTTTTTTTTATTGTTGTTTTAAAAAGTACTTTAATTTTGATTTTTGTGTAGGCCTATATACTGTTCAAGTATAAACTGTTCAAAATACTTTTTTGTTTATCAAGGTCAATTAAATCTTAATTCAAATTCTTGGAGAAATCTGTTCTTGTTTTCAATTTTTTGTTCGAACAAAACTTTTAGCTAACCAAGCACATGTAAGCCGATGTTTAACGTGTTTAGCCCAGCACGATTCATTTCTTTTAAGTTTTCTTAACTGGAAAAAGTAACATTTACAAAAGAAACCGATATTCTAATAGGCCTACCAAGTTGCTTTCATCCCATCCCCACCCACGGTACTCCGGGATACAGGCTTTAACAACGCCCCCCCCCCATAACCAAAATTATACCAGTATGGTGAAATTTCTGAAGCGCGTGTCAACAGTTGACGCTCTTGCACACTCTCCTTCGATTATTCCCGCCCTTCACCGTTTTGTGTACCTCTGGCTTTTGTACGAATGTGCCACACACTAGGCAAAGATACTAGAAATACAAGATAGAGTTCTCGCATTGTAAAAATGAATCGGAAGTCGTGCCCAACGTAGGCGGCGCCCTTCTTTTTAACCATGCAAGTTTCCTATACTTCGTGCCCAACGTACAGGGCGCCCTTCTGTTGCTAAGTATATCCAGACGCAAAAGGCGCCCTTTCTTTTCACTAATGGAGGAAAACTTTTTCACTAAGAGTGCGTCCGGCCATGCGATTCTGCGCTGTATTGTTGTTTTATCCTTTACTGATTCATGATTATGCTTTAATTGTTTTGTGTATTATTTGGATAATAGCAACGATTTCTACCGCCACCAAGGAGGTTATTTATTCACCGATGTCACTGCCTGGGTGTCTATTCCAGTTTGTTTTTATATCTAGTATCTTTGTTGAGAATTGATAATAAAATACGCGACGACTTGGTAACGAAAGTTTGGCACAAGTTTTTTTAGATCCAGCTGTAGGGGGCGTCCCATTTTTCGTATTCCCACCATGCATTTCGGTGGAACACGGTGGAACACTTTTTTTGTGTGGAGAACTCTGTCTTGTATTTCTAGTATCTTTGCACTAGGCTACACTACAGTGTAGGCCTACTTCCTTAAAAATAATGGCAGCGAATGGTACTACTGCAAACAACAATTCGGTGGCTCAGGCTAGTAAAAGACGAAAACTAAATAACAACCATGTAACGGTGGTTTTAGGAGCACAGTGGGGTGACGAGGGTAAGGGGAAAGTGGTTGACATGTTGGCTACAAAGGCAAATATCGTGTGTCGATGCAGCGTAAGTGATTGTTCTCATCTCATGCTTGCTAGGCTATGCCTGACGACAGAAGCCTAGATAGACAAGGCTATAATTGAGATAGGTGCCACTTGGAGAGGTAGAAATTCTCATATGGTTTTTCTAGACCAGTTTTTTATGGGGAATCAGAATATGTGAGGTAAAAGAGCCGTAACCTGAGAACTTTCGCGTGAGGGCGCTTTTTTCAAAATGGCCGCCAAAATCCAATAAACTACATATATATGGGTAAAATAAGCACAGAAGAGGTAGGTTTGACCAACTTTTGAATATATAATTATAGAAGTAAATTATAACTAGTTATATTTATTAATGTGAAGATTTCGGGAGGCAATTGAGGGCGCTTTTTAAAATGGCCGCCAAAATCAAAGAACAATTTTAAGAACAAATTTATTTAAGGTATTGAAGCTGCTGTTAAGCAGCTTCAATACCTTACATAAATTTGTTTAATTTACAAAACATGAATGTAATAACTGCTGTTGATTTTTTAAACACAAAA